ACAGAGGTTTTGGGCTACTCTCCCATATGCCCATTTATTTGTGGGGAGAGGGACTCAGAAACTTCACTGTTCATCATACAAAAATGACTTTTATTCAAGAATATGCTGGTCAACTCTGTTCGAAATTCCCATTTTCTACCTGTTATCATTTGTTTTTATTCAGCAGAGTTGGAGACACTCATTTACATCGGCAACCCTAAGCGCTAACTTTAATATAATTTTGAAATAAGTGCGATTATCCGTGTATCTCGTTCAACTGTTTTTGTGCAACTGGGCCAAACCTTGGAGACAATTTTGTCGATTTCCTTTGCTGAAAGATAATTTTGTTCCACTTGTAATCGTTGTTCTGTAATTCGAATCACAAATGCAATCCTCATCATTCATGAGGGGATCCAATGACGGTAATTACTATTTTAATGAGACCTCAACCAAATTATAAGTGAGTCAATCTGTTGCGGCGTTATTTTTTCGGGTCAATCTCATTTAGTTGTTTAGTGGAAATAATTATAATTACAGCCACTGGAGATCGATCCATAAGATTTGATCATTCTCATTCGTTGCGTACAGTGAAGGCACTCTGTTCGATCGCAAATGATCGCAAAACGATGAGCTATTGTTCGGAATTTCTTAGGAAACGTGATTTTATCTGCCTTCATGTTTTCGCTGTCGTTATCTATTCTATATCCTTTCATCGATAACGTCATGGTGTTGAATTCGTAGAAATCGTTTCGTTTGCTGTATTCAGAAAGTGAATTGCAGTTGATAGGTCATATTGTTTGATCCAGATCAGTTGAATGCACTTTTCTGTCCCAGCTAGCACCTGATTAATTTCGTCCTAAAACCACTGGAACAATCGAAAGCAAACTGGATTTTCAGCCAGTACTTATTGTAACTGATATCTACCTGATATCTTATGAAAAATTTTCCATTGGTAATCAATCGAACCAATGGTGATCAATATTCGAAACGAATGATTAATGATCACACGAATGCGTGATGAGTTTTTTGCGCACATCGAATTGTTCTTGATGACCGCGATACATTGCGATGATCTCCCTACGGCAACACCCATGCGAATGGGGATTAATGTTGAATTGAACGGATTTGCTCGGATTAGTTTAAAGATCCAATCGTCCTCGATAATTGTCGCTTAGTATCCACTTATCACTGGCATTTTTGAGACGACTGCCTTTTGCGTTCTCAAGTTATTCAGCTTCTCAAGTTGCTGTGACTTCATCCGGCCGTGACACCTCAGAAACTTTTTAGCGACTTCAACCTCAAATCGCCCAGAGTTCACGCGGTCCAGTTTTTTCAAAGTTAAATGCTCCGAGAGATCGATGATCTTTACGGGAAGCAGTATTTAGTCAGCGCATAAAACTCCGTTAGCTTTTTAAAGACCACAATTTACTACTGAAGGTAGCCATGCTTTCGCATTCACTCATATCATGCTCGCAACTGAACATGAACTTCAGTATATTGCTACCCAGTGGGATAATACCGCTCTTTAAAATGATCAAAATGTGCTCTCTGAGCAAGCAAAATGATACGTACCATATTACAGGTTAATGATATTCCGGTCGTAAATCTTATCGAAATTTGAATGACATCAGTCGATGTGTCCAATAATACGGGTTTAATCAAACATTTACAATTTTTACTATTCTCTACAATTTTGGCATATTCCTGCTCTATTTGCGTTGCGATACCTCGACGGGGTAATGAACCGTGGTCGGTCATTTTGTGCAAATTTGCGGATATTCCTTATGAACCGAAGACACGAGAATGGTTCAGCGAATGGATGATTGGTCGAAATAAACTTGGTCAGTATGTCTTTTTCATCTTCCAATCAGGAAAAAATCCTGGTCATCAAATAGAAAACTTTGACTTCTTCTCCCAATGTTTGGTGCTTCTTGCAAGTGTTATTGCTCACAAATGATATTTTGATCATCTCATCTGGGTTACGATCCCAGGTTAGTGCGATATTTTGATGAAAAGTGCCGATTTCAGATACAATAGAAAGATACTTCTCAGATGTTTCAAATAATGTTTATACGATAACGGGTTCAAGTATTCATGGATGGTTCACACTACCATGGACACTCAGCGATGTGAAGCGATTGGCTTTAGAAGATCAGCAGTTACAGGAGAGTAGCGAACGAGATTTCGCTGTTAGTTTTGATTATTCTGCAAATTGCGATGTTATCAATCTGGATACCTTGGGCATTGATTGTGACAGTAGTAGTAGATTACGTTAAGATATGTGGTTAAAGGTTTGCTTATTTAGCTAATATTATCGTCTGATATTGGACTCGATTTCAGTTTTATGATAAAACAAAAGAGTTGTGTGTGAAGACTGCAATAGAGAACGGTGA